TTTATATATTTAAGGTATCTCTTATAAAGTTAATTTCAAAATTATCTTATAGGCTACTAAAATAATAATTTAATTATAAAAGTCTTTTTGCTATTTAAGAATTAAGGTATTTTTAATTATTAAGATATTTAAATTTAAGTTATAAAAAGTATTAAAAAAAAAAAAGATAGAAAAGTAAATATTTTATAATATATATAATAAGCTTATATAATAAATAAGCTTTATAATAAAAATACTAACCTTTAAATTAAAACTTTAATAAAAATACAATAATATCTTAAATTAATTAAAATTAATTACTATACTCTTCTTTAAAATCTTAATAATAGCCTAATAAATCCTTATATTATAACTAGCCTTTCTATAAGTTTTATAGTATCTTTCCCTTAGTATTATTAACCTTACTTAACTACTACTTCTTAATAATTTAGCTACTACTATATATTAATATCTCTCTAATCTATCTTACCCCTTCTCTTATCTATAGTTATCTTCTCTTTATTCTATAGATAGGTTTTTTTACTTATATTACTTATTAAGAGTCTTATTTACCTATTAAAGAATCTGGTTTTAGACTTTAATAATACTATTTAATATATTATTTTTTATTCCTTAAAAATAACTTAAATATCTTAAGAATAGATATTAGAAAGCTACTCTAATACCTTCTTACTTATCTTTTAAGATATTTAAACTGCAAATTAGCCTTAAGTATTATTTTTAGGGTTTTAAGACCTAAGAGTTAGAAGGCTAACCTCCTCTATAGCTAGTATTAGAGTTTATAACTATATATTAAGCTTTAATATAATATTTTCTAATTTAAGGAATAAGTCTAGCCCTTAAAAACCTCCTTAATATTACTTCTTATTATAGTAGCTATATAGGTAGTATAAAAGGCTAGAAAAAACTTAGTCTTTATAATATAAATTATAGAATATCTAATTAATTACTTAATTTCTTAATTATAATATTTTAAGTAGCTTAAAGTATTTAATATTAAGAAGCTAGAGTAAATAAGATAAATAAGGTAGTATATAAAGTATAATAATATTATTCTCTTTATAATATTTCTTAAAGTTAATAGAATAGTAACTTTTATACTTATTAAAAATTAGAAATAATAGTAATTAGTTAATTAATTTTTTATATACTAGTTAAAGTATTTAAGCTACTTAAAATCTATCTTATTATTAATCTAGCTATTTTAAGTTATTATAATAGCCTAATTACTTAGGAGGTTACTTTTCTAATACCAGCTAGTAAGATAATATTAGCCTGTAATTATAATAAATAGCTAAATTACCTAGCCTTTTATATTAATCCTAAATAATTATAATCTATTTTAATTTCTAAACTAAATTAATTTTAAGTTTCTATACTATTTATACCTATAATAACTATTTACTTATAATAATACTATTATAAAGCTATTTTATTAAAGTTATAAATATTAACTAAATTAATATTATATTTTATAATTATATTCTCTATAAGCTAGAATTAATTATAAATAATAATTAGATTTTTATATTTAGCCCTCTAATAGTTATATTTATAAAAAAAATATATCTTAAGTTCTAGTTATTGCCTAATAAAGTTAGAAGCCTAGTACTTACTAATAGTAATATATTAATTGGTAAGTAGTTAGTTAGCTATTTCTTTAATATTATATAGTTATAGGGAAAACCTTATAAATCCAGGTTAAGAATAAACTAAATAATAATCTACTCTTCTAGATTGGATAGCTTATATAATTTAAGATTTAATTATATTGGAATTAAATCTCCTTTTGCTAGCGCTATAGTATTATACAGCTAACTTTATAGATTTTTAGTATATTAAAGCTTTAATTTTAAGTTATTTTAAAGGGCTAAAGTATAAGAAGAATTCTACTCTTAATATAAGAGTTAGATATATTTTATAGTTAAGAATTAATTAATTAAATGGAGATAATATAATGGAGGGATTTTTATTATAAAGCTTATTTATTACACAAGCTTATTATATATATTATATTAAATATACTAAGAAGAATATATCTTATTTTTACTAAGTTAAGTTTATAAGGCTAAATTATTTAATTAGTAAAAAAATTAAAAGTAAAAAAAGAAAGAAAAAAAAGATAGAAATTATTAAATAGTTAAATTACTTAAAGTTTTTTTACCCCTAATTAAATACTATTAATATCCTATTATTATACTATTGAAATTTATAAATATAAAAAAGAGGCTTATAACTTTTTAAATAAAAGAGGCTAGCTTAGCTAGTTTAATAAAAAGCTATACTATTAATAAAAATAGTTACTAGAATTATAGGAATTATACTTATTAAAAATCTTTAAAAGAAAAGAGAGGAAATTCTATAGATATTAAGTAATCTCTTAAGTAATTTAAATATTTCCTAGCTTATTAACTTTAGCTAGATTTAAACCTATAATAAGTTCTATTAATACTATATATTTAATAGATTTTTTATCCTAATTTATAACTTATAATTATATATTAAGCTAAAAAAATATAAAATATTTAATTATATACTATACTATAATTCTTAAGAAATTCTAGGGGTTTATAGACTTCTTATATTTATAGAGCTTAAATAAAATATCTAATAGCTAAGATAGTTAGCTTATATTAGAAGATCTATAGAGGAAGAAGCTTAGGTATATACCTTTAGGGGGGAGGTAGCAATAAATCGGGGTAATTGGGCTTTTATAAAAGAGGCTGAGGAGTATCCTGATGATCGATACCGAGGCTGTTAGGATAGACGACGGAAGAGGATGGTAGGACTGGGAGTACTGCTGTAAACTCCATCTTAGGGGCAAGTGTTTGACGGTATAATTGTGAAAGCGGTAGCGGCTTGAGTAGCCACGTAGGTGACGCGACAGCCTCGATAGCGTATGCAGCTGCAAGAGGGTTTGTATCGGTCGCCAAGAATGTTATGTGAGGTACTGGGGGAGTGGTATTACTGGTATCTTCTTGTTTATAGTGCGATGGTTCCTTTAATATGAGGTTGCTGCCTGAGTACTACATAATCTCTTGATTAAATAAGCTTATTTAGACTAGAATTAAATTAGAGGGTAATATTAGATATTTAAAAAATAAATAATAAAAAAAATAAAAAATAAAAATATATTAAAGAAGAAAGTCTAATTAAAACTAGATATAATTATATTTCTAATAGTTGGGAGTATATTATTAATATTATTAATAAAATAGATAGTAGAGTAGTGCAAATAATCTTATATATATTTAATCTATTATTTTTAAAGCTATATAAACTAGTGCTTCTATATATAGTTTTAAGTATATACTCTCTTTTTCTTAAGTAAAAGTACCTAACAGCCCATAACTTAAGAATACTATAAAATATTTCTTAATATATAGCTCTCCTAGAAAATTAAGCTCTTCTATTTTATAGCCTTTTCTATTTAGATTTCCCCTAATTCTTTAATTTATCCAATCCCTTACTAATATACTTTTTTTTTCTTATCTACTTATAGGATTCAAATAATCTATAATATATAAATATAATATATTATAGATTTCAACCTGGGATATTTATTGGCTAAGATATCTTGCTAATTATAAAGGAAATAAAGAGGCGTTTTTGGAGATGAGGATTAATGGTATCCGGATTAATATCTATTGCGATTTCCCGATGCTCTCTTATCCTATCTTATCTTATCTTATCTTGGACGAGCAGGGGTATCGTGCTTTTTAATAGGGATACAGTTCCATTTAAAAATTTGACAAGGGTACTGTTCGTCCCAGATGTGATCTTATTGGCTGAGCCCACTCGAACACAAGTGAAAACCGAGACCCGAATCTGTCCATGGATCCCTCCAGCCATCATAGATTATATATATATCTACTTGACCGGCTGCAGCCACAACAGCCCCGTCCTAGGGGTGGAGTCTTATGAGCAAGGCAGATTTGAGCGTATGCTAGACAGGGCCTAATGACAGGCAGCTGACCACGTAGCGGCGGAGACACAGCGCCATCGGGCGTTCAGTGATACTTGCGACAGACTAACAAATGCAGGCGAGCAACCTGAAAGCCAAGAAGCCGTCTGTTCAACTCAGCGAGTCACTTCGCGGTGCGAGAGGAGAATTACGACAGGGTAGTGAAGGGACCGGATGAGGAATCATTGGCTGTCGGCCTAGTAAATTTATCTTGCCTCAGTTGTGAGGTGACACGGAAGGTTGCAGCGGTGGGTAGCGCTTACCCCGCACACCATGTCAGCATCAAGTCGTAGTCGGGCATGTGTTATCTATTGATTGGTAGTAATTGGAAGACTCACGAGTTGCTCAGGTATGGCGGCAGCCAAGGCGGATAAAACCGGTAAGATGCGGTATTTTCTCAACCAACATTGCCGAAAATGTATTGACCGACTGCTGCCTGATACTCAAACCTGCAGCCACGCCAAAAACTGACATGCACTTTGCCAGCCGAATTACACATCGCCTTTGTCGAGCTGAGGCGGCTAACTGAAGGTTACAGGGGCATCTCATCAACTATTTACAGTACGTTTGAAGGAGGCCCGAGCGTTGGTCAGTGACCCAATGACCCTCTTTGTGTTGCTCAAGACACATATCCGCAACGTGACATTGGGTCCGGGAGGGACGTCATTCCGTTGCTGCAGCCTGATGGTTCTTCATTGTGGATCCTGATCACAACAGCGCTTCCGCGATGACGTTGTGTAAAACTAATATAGCTTCTGCAGTCTCTATTAATAAAAAAAAAAGAAGTTGATATTTACAAGCAACGGCCTCGACAACCCAGTGTCCTAGTATTACGCAGAACCAGAACCAGGCGATAATTGGGCCGATAGAGTGGTAAATGGTGTGGGAGACTCTGCGGGTGCAATTGGGCGAGCGACGCTGTGACGAAATGCAGAAGTTCCGGGTTTGCCCGCGAATGGTCGCCGATCACAGTTACACGACATCTGCAGCCCCCATCACGGAGAACGGAGGGGGAATGACTCACCCGGCTGGACTTGACGTTTTTGAACTACGCTCTAGGATGTCGTGGTCAAGCGTTTTGCCGTCGCTCGTGCTTTAAAATGCCTCAGGCACAAAACTACCTTCGTACTAGGTACATCCCTGGGGTATGTACGATCTCTGTCTCAATAGATGGTAAGGTGACGATTGAACCATCACCACGAAAGAGGACCTCAGACCACAGGAGCCATGATGAGCGAATACCTGGATGAGGACGATAAAATCGAATACTGGAAAAGTCAGCTCAACTCCGTCATCCATGAAATCACAAAGGACAACGCTGGGAAGGCCGACTTGAAGAGCAAAGCGTTGCGGGACAAGTACAGCGAGCTGATCAAACCCCTCATCTCGCCCGGCCTCAGACAGAACTTCGTCGTGGAAATCATAGGCAACGATTTCGTTCCCGTACCGAGCCGTGAGTTTCTCCTGAAAACTGCTGTTCCGGGGAACTGGCACTTGCTGGGACCAACCAAGCCCGGCGCCGATACCGAGAAGGGCACAGCGCTTCACAAAGCTATCGACTGTGACAAGCGGAAAAGGGACCAAACTTGGCTTCCAGCTTCGGCCTTCACGTCCCTCCTCTGCGATCTGATGAAATCCGGCCTCCAGACCAAGACTTTGGATCAAGACACGGCTGCCACAATCCTCTCCGGGCGCCGCGGCCTCAACGGCCCAACATGTCTTCACCTCGCGCTGATGGAGGACATGACTGATGCCGCCACCCAACTCATTGGACTCGCCGATGAGAGCGTCCTAAAGCTTCAGAGGGAAAACGGAAACACGCCCCTACACGACGCCGTCGAGTTCCAACTCAAAACCCGTCGGAAATTCTTGGTCCAGGCCCCACGTTGCAGCACTCCCGCTCTCCGAGCTCCCATTGCGGATTTTTCTCTTGACGCCGTCCGCGAGGAAAACGCGTCCAACTGTTGCAAGCGGTGTCTCGATATCGACGAGCAGTACCAAGGTCACAAGGCGAAGCGCGCTGCCGTTCTCCACTCCCTCTTGGCTAAGGGGCCTGTTGCCTTGGCCACGCCCAACAAGGCCGGGATGCCACCGTACCTGTATCATATCCGCGGCAGGGAGGCTTTCAGGAAGAAAAGCCCAAACGCCAACGAGCAGATGGAGCAGCAACGGTGCAAGATGGCCGAAAAGAAACTGGTAGCAAACTCTAGTACGGGGAACCTGATATTCCCGGAGTCGGTCAGATTGCCAAGTCCTGTCCCTGGTCAACACCTGCCGCAAGCTGCCAATGTCAGGGCAGCGAGAGCGCCCTCTGCAGCCACCACCGCTCCCACAAAGTGCCCGTCAAAATCGGACCCAGATTGCTTCTACCTCTCTGCCGAGGTGGAAACGTTGTTATGGGACGCATCTTTTCGTCTGGATGGCTACGAATTGGCCCGCCAATGCCTTTTCCTGGCGACCGTTGCGAAAAACAAGGAAGGCGCGAATCCTAGCAGTAAGTGTATGGCTCGCCTTTACCTACATACCTACCTAGGTGCAACCTGATGTGGTGAAACGCACACTGACCTTGCTTCTGTACCCACCTAGCGGATCTCAACGATAACGGCGGCCGAGACGAGGAAGAGGAAGAGGAGCAGCACCAAGAATTCAAGCCAAACCGAAGCGTTACACTCAATACGCGAAGTCAGTATGCCCGCTTCAAATTCCTCCCTACGCTAGCCTACGTCCATTTACGTGTGACGCCCGATCCAACGCTCGAAGAGGAGCGGATACCCAAAACCGCCGAGCAGCAGGTCAAGTGGCAAGCCAAAGCATCGGAAGCTCTAGAGGAGCTGTTTAAGTGGCTGAAGGAGCGGAAGAAGGTCAAGCGGGTTTTGAAGCTTGTCGTAGAGGACAACACGTCGTTCCCGTGCGGCGAAGCCACCATCCAAGCATGCCTCCACGCACTCGAGGACATTCGTTACCTGGATTGGAGACGGCCTAATATTTCAGTTCAGCCGCTGCAAGAGGCCAAGATGGTGGTCGAACTATGGTTATATTCGACCGGTATCAATGCCGTTCTGTCGGGCTGGGCAGATAAAGGGGGCCTTCAGACACTTGACATGGTAGGTCCATTGCCAGACCGAGGCCAAACCACTACTTTAGTTCTAGAAACGCTGACTTGAAACCTTTCCCCTTTTTTTCGCAGCTACGAGTTATCAATATTGACGCAAAACAGGTAAGTACCATTCTAAGCTCTACCCACCAGTACTGAATACTTCACTTACTTCTCTTCCGCAATTATTTAGGGCCTTGAGACTAAGGAGACCAATCAAAGCAATGTATCCAACTTCAAGACAAAGCTGTCTAAGTGGTATAAGGACTCAAGAACTCCGCCCAAGGTGAATTCGAGTTTCGAATCGGCCAACAACCCGCTGAGAAGTAGCACCCAAGGGGGCGGCAGCGACGGGGACAATGCAAAGCCGTAGGTTTCTTGCCACTATTCGATCCCTAACTAGCTATGACTACCCCAGTACTTATAGAGGGGAATTGATATGCAGTCGCTAACCAAGCACGCCTTTCCCCATTACAGACTCAACAAGTGGCTCGATGATGTGAAGAGTCTAACCGCCAAACTCGGGGCCGAGATCGAACTGACGGCCGCCGCCGGGAGTGGAGAGTCCGACTCGGACGCCGATGACGAGAATAACGGCGTCAAAGACGATAAGGACTACGTTCGCGTGGCACTGATTGACGACGGCTTGGACCCCGAGTGGGAGGGTCTCGGCAAGTTTCTATCGGGGAGCGGATGGACACATGTTCCAGCATCATCAGCTAACTCTCCTGGCTACCAACCGCCGCGGCAGGATCGCTGGTCGACACCAGGGCGTCATCAGCACGGCAATCGCATGGCCCAGCTCATCACCACCGTGTGCCCCTTTGTACGTCTCTTCGTGGCCAAGATCGACTCTGGAGAGTGGGAGGACAAGCAGCCTCATCCCACGTTTGATGTGGACCACGCCATTGAGGTAAGATGGTTCATTGCCTAATTAACTAGAAGAAATACAAGCTGGCTGCGATTGAGTCACCTTGCTAACTTCCAGCTGTTCCAAGGCTATCCACCAGGCGATCAGAGCAAAAGTCGAAATCATCTCGATGAGTTGGAGCGTCCTGCTCTCCGACGCCGACGAAAGAAGGCGGAAGCTCAGGAATGCCATCGAGGAAGCGAGCAAACTTGGCATCCTCGTCTACTGCGCCGCGCGGGAGGACAAGGACAGCACGCCGGGAGGGGAGATGAAGGCCTGGCCCAGCTCCTGCGACGAGACCTTCAGCATCGGGGCGGCGCACATCTATCAGGGGAAGAAGGACTGGGTGGGCCGCGACGCGCAGTTTCACTTCCCCTCGGAGAACGTGCTGGACAGCCATGACCTGGTCAATGGCGGAACCTCTGCGGCGACTGCCCTTGCAGCTGGGCTGGCCTCGTTGCTCCTCTTTTGCCTAAAGCGGAACCAGCGTGATCGGGAGCGCGACGATCAGGATAAGAAACAACACCAGGAGACAACGGCACTAACAATGCAGGGCTCTGTTGGGCAGCAGCAGATTCGGCAACAACAACAACAGACCGAGAGGCGCTCGTCAAAGTTATTTCACGCCGGGGAAGACTCTCGCGGCATGATAGAGAAGGTCTTTCAGAACCTGAGCGAAGATATCGGGGATGGTCGAATGTACGTCGACGTCGGGTCTCTGGCGCGAATCACCCCGGCCTCGTACGCGGCTATTGCTACGAAGTACTGCGAGCCGCATATCAAGCCCCTAGCGAGGAAGAAGACATCACGGAAGTAACGAAAGACAAGGACAAGGCGTAATTAACTACTGAATAATCACACATGGTGACTTTATAAGCACTCGGAGGGGTTAATTGGGTTTCCCTCAACTTATGTTAAGACAAAACAAGGACATGAAAGGGGATGGAAGAGGGAGAATGTCGGGTGAATCCAACTCCGCTCACCAAGGTAAGGTACATTACCTACCAGGGCATTCCGTGTCATTACCCCCTCCCTCAGCTCCGAAATTCCAATACGTGCGACATCTCATCGCCCATCAAGTCGAAGGCTCCTGATGGCTAGACGCCTCAGCAGCAGCTTTCTTCGCGGCGAGTTCCTCCAGGGATGCGCTCCCCCAGTCCTTGATCAGCACGTCCTGTAGGTTTACCGTCTCAAGGTTCATCCAATCCCGCGTCGTTTTGCGTGCAGCCACGTCATCCTCGCCCTCCTCTCCGTCGCTGGACCCCGGCAGGATAGTGGGGTCAAACGTGCCCGCACTGCCGCGGGGTATCACCTTTCTCAATATGCGCATGAGCTTTGCCGTGACGGAGTCGTTGGCCCGGATGTCGAGAAAGACGTCAAACGTGCCGTCGTCGGACCTCTTGCGACGGAGGAGCACTGCCGTGCGTACCTGGTATTGCACGCCGCTGCGGAGCGCTTGGTTCTCAACCAACTCCCACTTCATGGCGTTCAGGGGCCGCGAGCTCTTGTCGAAGAGGGCGGGTGAGGAAGCGATGTAGCGGTAGTAGACACGCTCCACAGCGAGCGTCGAACCGCTGCTGCGCTTCGTGCCCAGGCCGACGTACGGGTCGTACCCTCCCTTGAGTTCGTTCTCGGTGTTCTTCTCCTCAGTGATCTGGCCCGCGGCGAAGTTGCTCGGCAACACCGGCTGCTCGGGAGCCCACTTGGTGGGCACGGGATCCCAGTCGGAGAGGTTCCCGCCGAGGGGCACACCGTCTCGCGCGCCCGTGGCTCGGAAGCCGGCCACTATCTCAACGTTCTCGAGCCGCGTCTTGTTGGTCCCCGTGACCAGGATGAACTCAAAAGCAACCAAGGTTCGCGGTCGCTTCTTGTCGCCGCCGTGGTAGCCGTGGACGACTTCGAGCAGACGGACCTTGGCGCCAGATTGCGTTGCTTCCCAGCCGCTGAGGTACTCGGGATGGGGCTTGGTAATGGGCTTTGGCGGAAAGTGGAACTGGGCGTCTTCTTCGTTGACGTACTCGAACGGCTGGGAAATGTCCCATTGGTCATCGCCCGTTGTCGACATGTTGACAAAGGTAGGTGCACTACCTGCCGACTATGGACGTCTACCAAGTTAAGAGAGAGTGGACAGCAATTCTTGTCTCTGATGACTGCTGAAGAGTCGGATCAAATCCTGCGAAGTGTAATTGCTGGATAGCACGTATGACCAATTGATGACCTCGAACATGTGTGTATTCTGTATTGTTCTCTGTAGCTCCCCTGTTTTCCTTGCTTCTTAATATAGGCTCGCTAGCTGGAGGCTCGGCGAGCTTCCTCCGACAACCCCCGGTCTCACACGTGACTCCCTGGAGCCCTGGTGTTCCAACATGCCTCTAATTCAACAGTAATAGATGTAAGTATTAGGTTTCTAAGCTAGCTAATTAGCTCTATCTGTTACTATTTATAGAATAGGCCTAGTAATATAATTTATTAACTGATAAGGAACTAGAGAATACTTTAATAAGAAGTAAAATAAGAAAATCCTATAATGTACATGATAAGCGAGCGCCGCAGACAAGTGAGCGCCGTACTAGAATTTACACCTTATATCACGGGGCGGGACTTGGGGTCGACTAAGAATCGTTGTTATGCCGTAAAGAGGCAAGAAGCTATAGATGACGCGGAGCTACTATATATAGTAGGTGACCCACAGCATGTAGTTATATGATATTCCAATTTCTAGTACTTTATACTAGTCGACTAGGACTGAGGCTAGTACTGTGACACCTTAAATCGCGATTTTAGAAAAGCTATTAAAAGTTTAAACTAAGCCTAAAATAGCTAATATTTTAAAAATAAGCTAGTTAAGTTAAAATCTATTTAAGAAATAATCCCTAAAAATCTTAAGTAGCTAGAATCTAGGTAGATATGAAAAGTGGGTACCTTCTAGATTTACTTTTTATATCTACCTAGGTTTCTATGGGTTAGAATTTACAGGAATTATTTTCTATATAGATTGTATCTTAATTAGCCTATTTTAAAATGTATAGCTATTTTAGGTTTAGTTTAAACTTTTAATAGCTTTTTTAAAATTGCAATTTAAGGTGTAAATCTTAATATAGCACTTGCTTATCTGTAATATAGATGTTACCTATGTGTTGCATCCAACTATACGTCGCATTTTTCCCTCTTCCACCTAACTTTCCACTTCATCACTTAAATCTCTACCACTAAGTATATTACAATCAAATATAGAGGCAAAAACCCTCCTTATCCTTCAAGCCCTTTAAAATAACCCAAAACTCAATATCCAACACGCTGCTAGTATCTATAAGGTTAATAAACATAGGCTACATCGCCGGCAGAAGGGTATTTAATCTCGACGCGACTGGATCAACCCATTGCATCGACTATCTAATCTAGAGGAACAGATTATTATTCAATTTATCCTCGACTTAGATTTATGAGGATTTCCCCTGCGACTATATAGTATTGAAAAAATAGCTAACTAACTGCTTGCTAACTGCAATGCGTTACTAGTCGGCAAGTACTGGGCTTCTAACTTTGTCAGGCAATAACTAGAGCTTAAGATATATTTTTTTTGAAAATATAACTATTAGAGGGCTAAATATAAAAATCTAATTATTATTTGTAATTAGTTCTAGCTTATAGAGAATATAATTATAAAATATAATATTAACTTAATTAATATCTATAATTTTAATAAGATTGGTTTTATAATAGATATAATTATAAGTAGAATAATTATTATAGGTATAGAAAGATATAGAAACCTGAAATTAATATAGCCTAGAAACTGAAAATAGATTATAGTTATTTAAGCTATTAATATAGAAGAGTAAGCAATCTAGCTTTTTATTATAATTATAGGCTAATATTATCTTATTAATTAATATTAAGAAAGTAACCTTCTAGGTAATTAGGCTATTATAATAACTTAAAATAGCTAGACTAATAATAAGATAGATCTTAAGTAGCTTAAATATTTTAATTAGTATATAAAAAATTAATTAATTAGTTACTATTATCTTTTAATTCTTAATAAATATAAAAGTTATTATTCTATTAACTTTAAGAAATATTATAAAAAGAATTATATTATTATATTTTATATACTATCTTATTTATCTTACCTACTTTAGCCGCTTAATATTAGGTATTTTAGGCTACTTAAAATAGCCTATAGTTAAGTAATTAAGTAATTAATTAGATACTCTATAACTTATATTTTAAAGATTGAATTCTTCTTAGTATTCTATATTATTTATAAAGCCTCTATAATAAGAAGTAATATTAAGAGAGGTTTTTAAGGGGCTAGACTTATTCCCTTAAATCTAGAAAATATTATATTAAAGCTTAATATATAGCTATAGACTCCAATATTAGTTAGGGAGGAGGTTAGCCTCCCTAACTTTTAAGTTTCAAAGACTCTAAAGATTATACTTAAAGCTAGCTTTTAGTCTAAATACCTTAAAAGATAAGTTAGAAGATATTAAAATAGCTCTTTAATATTAATTCTTAAGATACTTAAGTTATTTACTAAGGGAATAAAAATAATAATATATTAGATAGTATTATTAAAATTTAAAAACCAGATCCTTTAATAGGTAAATAAGATACTTAGTAAGTAGTATAGAGCTAAAAGAACCCACCTATATAAAAAAGAGAAGATAACTCTAAATAAAGAAAGGAATAAGATAGATTAGAGAGATATTAATATATAGATAGCAGCTAAATCATCAAGAAGTAGTAGTTAAGGGAGGTTGGCGATACTAAGGGAAAGGCACTATAAAACTTATAAAAAGGCCGGCTATAATATAAGAACCTATTAGGCTATAATTAAGACTTTTGGAGAAGAGTATAGCAATTAGTTTTAATTAATTTGATATTTTGTTGTAGTTTTATTAAGGTTTTAATTTTAAAGATAAGGAAAAATACAATGTATAGTTAGATGCAATATATAGGTAATATCTATATTAGCGCTTACTTATTATATAGGTATATTATATAAATAAAAAACTCTAAATCTTTCTACTTAATAAAATAATTTTAACAAGTTATGTTAAATATTAGGGTGAAAAAATTATATATTCTGTTTTAGCAGCTAAAAGGGATAGAAATAACACCTAACTTATTAACTTACCTAAGGGGAGATATATAGAGGATTATTACATAGACATCTTAGCTGGTCAGCCCGAAGCTACACTAGATTACGCATATAAAGTCGGGTTAATCTAAGTTTTATATCTCCTAATAGGAAAGTATCTAATAAGATAGAATATCGAGTTAATTATAGAAAAGTTCGCTAGTAAGGTATTAATAGAGCCTGCAGCAGCTTGATATCTGAGGGAGGTTAAAGATAGAGTATTACAGTACTAGCCTCAGTTCTAGTTAACTAGTATAGAGTGCTAGAAATTGGGATATTACGTAACTACGTAATATAGATTACCTAATATACATAGTAGCTCTGCGTTACTCATAGCTTCTTGCCTCTTTACGGCACAATAACGATTCTTAGTTGACTCTAAGTTCCGCCCTGTAATATAGAGGCAGGACAAGGATTGTAGTAACAGTCAAAATAAACTCAAATAAATCTCTCAAAATAAAAGGCAATTAATTAACAGACTCCCTAGTAGTTGTTACGGGCCAGGGCCCATATTCTTACGGCTGTGCTGCAAGATATACTTGGCTTATGCGCGCTAGGATGGGAAATTATTTCACAGCTTAGGGGTACTTAGGAATTTCTTTCTTTCTTCTTCATCTTTGATGTAAATAGCATCCTGGACTAGATAGCTGGAATACAGTTACTAGAGGCCGTTTATAGCAGTCTCGAGCCCTTCTAGCCTCTCTGACTTCTTGAAAAGAATCTCTGATGAAAGAAAAAAAAAACATCCCTCCTCCCCCGTAACAGTCCTGACCTTTCTTTATAACCTCATCCAGACCACCCTGGAGATATCCCCGCTGGCGACTAGCTAGCCTAAGCATCCCTAACTGCCTGTTACACTGTATCTTAAGGTTTCAGGGCAAGCTTTATATACCCTTTCTCTTCTATATAGAATCAGCTAAAAGCTGATTACTAAGCTATGTAGCAATAGGTGGCAATAGGTGGTAACTTTCGCCTCTGACGTATCTGACAAGTTATTATAACTTAATTAAAATATCTTCTAATTTCTATTGCAACTACTTAAATTAATTTTTATAAAATATTATCTAATTAAGTAAGGCTATTAAGCTTCTTAGTTATATAAAGTTAAGCTATTTAGAAGTTACTATTTTTAATTGAGCTACTTACTAGGCTGCTAGGGTCCGGGCTAGGCTCTTTTAGGCCTAGATAATTAAGGTTACTTTGTAATAAGGGGGTTCTCTTTTTTAGGGTGGCCTGCCAGGCCTACCTTTACAGTTAACTACTCTGCTACGGGGAGATCAAATCCTGTAGGTCTTGTATTTGGCTTCCTTCTGGTTGACGAAGGCGTAATTGTGGCCGCCAATAGTGCCCTAAAAAGCCATGTTATGCATTAGTGTGCTCGAAGTGCATTCCTCTAAAAAATGCCTGATTTCTTTGCCATTCTTGCGCCATCCCCGGGTTTACACGTGTACCCTATCCGATTCGACTCATTTGGATTGTGGCTGCAGCACATTTTCAGTCCGATCCCGGCAGTTCCGCGAGCAAATAACCGGCTGCCGCCGCATTTTTTCACGATGGAATCGGCACTTCACCCCCCGTCTTCGTGTCTCCTTCAATATCTTCGCAAGGAAGCGCTGTAGAATAAGGAATGTGAGCACGCCACTATGACCAATAGTATGGTGTCTAACATTCTAGTATGCTTGCTTCTGCGATATGGCTACGTGCTGTGCGTCGCTCTTCTAACCCATGCTTCATTCTGTGTTTGTCGCACTTGGGGGCAACCGAGCTGCAAGCGCGTCACATATAATCCGCCTAAGGCGCATAAACGGATGTGATTGAACGATATCTTGAGTTATCTTTCCAGCACATCCTAAGTCTATTTTTGTCCTCCATATAGATAATTCTAACATCCTACCCCTTGTCCCCCACTAAGCTACCTCAGCTTGACCGAGGCAGCGTGCAGTTCGGATGGCAAAGTGCATGACTGTTTTGGTGATGCTGCAGGTTTGGGCATCAGGCAGCAATGGGCCGATGCATTTCCGGCACGTTAGCCGAGAAAACACCGCATCCTGCCGGTTTTATCCGCCTTGGCTGCTGCCGGTAGACAAGCAACTCATGGGTCTACTTTCGAGGAAGCCCCGTCAGCTCGACATCTATAGGGTGTTGACTAAGGTAATGTATGACTTGGATGATAAAGTACATTGCCGTCTCGGTATTGGTGCAGGCTGCACGTCAGGCAACAATGGCCAAAGACAGGACAGCAAGCTCCTATTATAACCAATACCTGCAATATAAGCAATAACAAAAAATCTCTTTCCCCGCGGAAAGAGATAACGCAGATCATCCAATCAGCTCTCAGGGGTCGGCCCGGTCCAAGCCTATCTAACTAACCCTAAGAAGTCGATTCAAGTCTGACTAGGGTCGCTAAGGGATACAATTTCAATGACCTATTGGTCCACACTACCCCACAATTGAGAAAATAGCCACGGACACTATGCCCAGTCTAGTCGCAATCGTGTGAGGTAAGACAGGAAGCTCGGTGACAGCAAGGTTTTTCCTCTGAGGGCGATAGATAACGCAGATCATCTAGTCAGCTCTAAGTGATCTGCGCGGAGCGGGGTCTGCCCTACTACGATTTGATGGGTCCGCGGGGCAAGCGACACACTTTCAGCTACCCACTACTGCAACCTTCCGTGTCACCTTACGACTGAGGCAAGATACTACAGCCAATGATTCCCCGTCCGGTCCCCTCTCTACCCTGCTACAATTCCCCTCTCGCCCCGCTAAGTGACTCACCGAGCTGGATAAACGCCTTCTTGGCTTTCGGGTTGCTCGCCTGTATTTGTCAGTCTGTTATAAGGACGACTCTAGATGAGATGAGGGTATTAATTCCGAATCTGCATTAACTATACTATAATGAATTATGGTGTAGGTTGTGCCATGAGGCATAGCCTGCTTTGGGTTAGTAAACCAGACGGGGGCTTTTAATAACAAAGTCAAGGAACTAGGAACTTGCTCGTCCGGAAGTAAAGCAACAGGAGGTGGAGGCCCGGGCCGGCCCGGGCCGGGCTGGGGTTGATGTGGGGTATGGTGGGCAGGCAAAACTAGATTCCGCGGATTCATTAGCATTAGGTTGTTATGGAGTTGCTCGTTCTGGTCACTCCGTCCAACTACCCCTCTGGCTATTCGAAGCCCTCTAGGCCACAACCACGTAGACTTGGGGGGCCTCAATAAAACGCTGACGGGGATCGGCCGATTTTGAGGCCCCCCAAGTAGGGTCGGGTAACATAATTTCGGGTGGCTTGGCCGCTGTGTGTCGTCATTTCAAGACCTGCACCAAGGAACTCGATCTGCAAGCTGACAAGCATCTACAGCTGGTTCTGGGTCTTGTCTGCCCATGCCACCGCCTTCACCGGACCACTAACTCTTGCTCGGCCGGGATATCTTCGTCACGGACATACATCTCGTCTGGATAACGGGCCGGACGTTAGGATATTGTAGGGCTGTTTTTACAGTAGCAGGTGTGGGTTAGGGTCAGGTTTATATGGAGGAAACAGTTAGTACGATTGACCCTGATGGGGTGATCTACATTATCTTCTCTCCGGGGGAAAGAGAAAACGGCGTCGATCTATTGCCGATTTTGGTTTTGATGGAGACCCTCGATATCGAAGACACCAAAAACGGCTTGTTTGACCGGCTGCAGCCACCAAAACCCCGGCGTAGGGGTCGAGTCTTGCAAGCAGGGCAGATATGAGCACACGTCGTGACGTCAGACCTGGTTGCAGGCAAGCTGATCATGTCGTGGTGGGGGCACATGGGTATCAGACCTTTGGTGGCGCTTTGTATCAACAGACAAATGTCGAAGCCGATTATTCGGCTTGACAGGTCACTTTCCGGTGTGAGAGGGGTGAGACGCAAAGGCCTTGTAACAGTGAGGGGAAACTGACGACTCAGTAGAAAATGCGACCGGATGGGGAGGCAATGGGCATAGTATCTTGTCTCAGTTGTACAGTGACACGCAGCAGTGGGTAACTGACGGTGGGTAGCTGAAAGTGCGTCGCTTGCCCCATACACGCTTGTCAGCACCCAAGTCGCAGGTAGGGCAGATCGGCCCGCCCCGCGAAGATCGCTTAGAACTAGATGATCTGCGTTATCTATTCGCTCTTAAAGCAGAAAACTTGTTGCATTGCAGGTGTTAGTTGTAACCGAGCTTCTTGTCTTGCCTCACACAATACGAGGACCCATAAGTTGCTTGTCTACCGGCTGCAGCCAACACGGATAAACCGGCAAGATGCAGTATTTTCTCAACCAACGTAGCCGCAAATACATTAACCCATTGCTGCCTAATACTCAAACCTGCAGCAACACCAAAATAGCCATATACTTTGCCGTCCGAACTGCACGTTGCCTTGGTCGAGCTGAGGCGGCTTGCTGGAAGGTTGCAGAGGCACGTAGTCAATTATGGTACGTTTGAGGGAGGCCCGAGCGGTGGTTAGTGATCAAACGACCCTCTTTATGTTGTTCACGACGTGCATCCTAACGGGACATTGGGTCCGCAAAGAAGACCGCCCACCTATTGCGTTGGCGGTGATGGAAATTCGGTCTTCAGCCCCATGCAAAAATCCCCACGGATTAGCTTGTCTGACAGGCCACAACCAAGAAGTTTGGGTTGAAGAATTTACATGATTAACCAGCTGACCCCAGCCACCGAGCTATCATCGTATTGGCAGGCCAGATCACCCAAAGCTGGTAGGCTTGCTTTATGTAGCTAGTAATACCTCAAAATGCATGCAGCTGATTATTTACTAAAGGGTCTACGGGAGTATCAGGTATCCGATGATTATTTCGAGAAACTTACAATTAATAGCTAAGCAAACCCGATGCCTTGGAAATATGCGTCTAGCTTGGCAACTCGCTTCCTCGCGTAGGAGAGATAAAGATGTGATTGCCGAGAAGAAGATGCATGTCAGTTTCAGTTAGGTAGATTCTTGCTGGAGGCCTGCCACCTCAGCAGCATTGCGGGATCACGGCATGTCAGGTGTCAGATGAGGCGAGCAGTGGGTCGTCGACAGCATGCATAGCACACTTCGGCAGCGGCTCACTAGATACTATTGCTACGACCGGCCCGTCCCGCGACGGTCGCGTAAAGCCGATTGGATTACCTTTGTTGTCTCTATTCTCGCGAAAAGAGAAAATATGCCATGTGTTGTCCCCAATTGGTTCACCGGATGCAGCCAGGACGGCTGAAGTCAAGGAATTGCGGCATTTTCTCAATCAATATCCCCGGAAAGGCCTTGGACCGCTGCTGCCTGATTTACAACCTGCAGCGACACCAAATCAGCTGTACACTTTGCCGTCCGAACCCTATGTTGCCTTAGTTGAGCTGAGGTGATCGAATGTGCTTAATCGGCTGCATTGAGTCTGAAAGAGGCCCAAGCGGATCAAATGATCAAACGACCAAATGATCATCTCGGCATTGTTCAAGTCGTGCTTCTTGCGAGCAAAGGATACTAGGTCCGGCAGGGGAGACGGTTCCGTCGGTATTGCAACCTGACAGGGCTTGGTCTTTGTGGGTCACTGTTGCGGATCACTGTCCGAGGTACGGGGTAATAAGGAAGCCAGACTGCAAGTTGGGGCACCGACCACAGCAGCGTGTTCGCGATTACTTATAAATTTTTTTATTAATATTATTAATATTATTAATTAGTTATATTAATTATATTTATTTTATGTTTTTATATTTTTAAAATAATAGTTTAATTATAGTATTATTTTTTATTTTAATTAAATTTTAAATTATAAAATTATAATAAATAAATTAAAAATAGTTATATTTATAATTTAATTATTATTTTAAAAATATAAAAATATGAAAATAAATTTAGTAAAAAATAATATTAGCTTTATAAGTTATATAAAAGATATTAAAATATAAAATAAAGTTTTAAAGTTTAAACCTTAGATGATAAGTAAAAGTTCAGGTTCAGATTTAGATTTAGTGAAAAATTTCACGCCGTCTGACAGTATAATAGCTCCGTACCTCTCCAAGACTTTTCCATTAGACACCCGCTGCTGCCAACCTAGCCTCTGCGCCCCCAAGTCGTTTCCCCGCGCCAGGCTTCGCAATCCAACGCCGAGGATATGGACTTCGGAACGCCTCCGCCCATGTGGCAGGAGCCACCGGTGTTCTGTCTCCCAGGTGTTCCTTCCCCACAGACTTCTTGGTCTCTGAAAGCCCAGTAGGTTTTGGTCTATTAGCATCACTTTGGCTCCACTGGCCCATCGTCTTTTAAACTCTTGTGGGCAGCGGGCGTTAACACGTGATCAAACGACAGCGCGGTCCTGATCCACGGCATTGATGGAACCACGTACCCAGACTTGGGACACTCCGTTTTACTGCCGGCGTTCGTGGGCGAGTCCGAGACACTGCGTTTTAGTTACTCGCCCTCTGAGGTAGCGGGCGCATCTGCAACGGAAGAGACGATCTCGCTCGTTGCCACTAATCTTCTCGAGCTTCTCAGAACCCGAGTTGCCCCAGCCACCACCTTGGCGGGAAAGGACGTAGATGACTCCTCCCTTTCCATTATGTTTTTTGCCTACGACCTCGGCGGCACAATCGTCAAGGAGGTAACAAATAGCGTCCTACTTCTCTGGCGTCAGAGGGAAATGCGCTAATTGTTTGAAATCGTCCAAGGCCTTGACGAGGGCGTCTCTCGACGAGCAATATCGGCCAGTCCTCGAAGCGAGCAGTTTAGTTGTGTGTAACTTTACCTACCTACCTACCCAACCTACCTTAACTACATCCATGTGGAGTGTGTGTTGAGCGTGTACTGACTGCAGCATCCGATATCTATCCAGGTCTTTTACGGAACGCCCCACTCATCTTGGGCTGGCAACACCCTTCGCATCCTCCATTACTGTTTCAGAGGACTGCTTCAGGAGTGGGTTCCTGACTTCTTCGAGCGCATGACGGCCTACCAGAAGCGGTTAAGCGATACATTTGGGAACCTGGCAGCCGCCGCTAGGTTCCGGGTGTTAAACGTTTGCCAGAAGCAGACGGGATCACCACTTTGTGCTCTGGTAAGTACCTCGAAAGAATCAGTGCGTGACATCGCTGAGCGGGACCCGGGGAGAATAACAAAATGACACTTGCTAACCATGTTTCCCCCCTTCTTTTCCGGGGGGCGTTTTTAGATCACCCATTCATCGTCCGCTTTGTTGGGGATCAGGGGAGAAGTGAGACTCCAGGTGGAGCGCAGTCATTTCCAACTTGCCATTCCCTTGAGTTATGAGGAACGGGAGTATATGCGTGGGAAAATCCTCGACGCTGTCATATGTTAGATTCCCCAAGTCTCATTCTGGACTACCGCCGTCACTTCCGAAGTTGGACGCTGACTGGGCGCTCATGCAAAGGCCACTGCCGCCCATACCGAATCCTGGTGGAGGCGTTGACACTTGGCGCTGGAGGAAAAATAGCCGCCTCACCTTCATTGGGCAAACATCGACAACGACGCGATGAAGGAAAATCCGTCGAAGACAGCAACTGCCGGTTCCTTGCGAATCAAGCCGTCGCGGCGTGGCGAGGTTTGAGTGGGGGGAAACAGCGGGCTCTCCGTATGGTGCTCGGCCACGACATAAACTTTGACGAGTTCTGTGATGCGTTCGCAAGCCAGGTCGCGGAAGACGAAAGTGAACCGATGGAACGTATCCTACTCCGCCTAGGGCCCCGGGGGGAAGTCGGCTTTCATACGACTTATCAGGCCTTTGCATCCCTCTGCCTGCAGTTCCTGGAACAGCGGCCAAGCATCAGCCTTTGGGCCCGCCATCTCTACCCGAACCTAAGAGATGCCTTGCTCGGGGTGGACGAACGGTGGAAGCACAGAGTGCTGGCGCGATGTCTGAGAACACTTTTCCTGGCCCCCAGACGTGGACCAACCCAATGCTTGATTTACCTTGATGCCGGCGCGTCCACATACGGGAACGTCATTGGCGAAATCTTGAGTCTCATGGAGGAATCGGAGATCCAGTTTGATCTCTTGGCCGTCACACCTCCCAAGATCGAGTTGGACTCAACTGCGCTTAGCACGCTACAGGAAGCACCTTGCGTTGACCTCTCCCCCCAAGATGGCAACAGTCCTAGTAGCTCGGTAGAACACAAGCCTGAGGGACAGATTTCGGAATCCACCGCGGATCCTTACGAGGCAACCCAGTCGTCGATTGAGAGGCTGTCCAGGTGCATCGATGCGAGCGTAGCCTGTGTATTGCGTGCTTTGGCTTGGACTGTCTTTGCTCTCCGGCCGCTCTCGGATACCGAGATAAAGGAAGCCATAGCGATAGCTAGTTGTGGAGAGGGAGGAGACTCACCGCCAACACGCCCGCACCCCACGGAAGCGGCGCTGCTTCTCGCCCTGGAGCTTTATTTGCCGGGACAAGCCCGCATCACTGAGCAGCACGTAATCTGGACGGCGCCCGAACTCTCCTCGCATCTGAAAAGCGAATGGAGGAGACATTTCGGCGATGATGGTCTCACCCCCGACCTCTATCTCTCGCAGGCTTGTTTGTCCCTGATAGCCCCTCGCTTTCAGACTGCCAATACGCCTGCAAGTACAGAGGGACAACAACAAGAACAGCAGCTTCCAGGGCTTTCACAATACGCCGTTGAATATTGGATTGAACATCAGATCCGTGCCGGGCAGAGTCCTCATGCAATAACCAAAACGCAGCCCGGCTTCGACTCGATTGCTTGGATTCGGCATCTCTCATCCTCGACTTGGTCTGCTAATGTGGCCGAGGACGTCCGGGTCAAGTTCCAGCCGGATGCCATTCAGAAGGCCTTCGGCATTAACTCGTCCGACGCTTGTTACATAGCTTACCGCATGGCCGTCCTGCCCCTCAGCGTGGAGGATAGCCAAGATTGGATCCTGTTTGAGATCGCGGGCCAATATCTTCCAGAGGATACATTTGCCGGGATGGTCGAGACTCTTACCAAGACAACTTCAACGGAAAGCGGTCAGTCGAGCAGCCTCCTATTGCAGAGAATTCTCGCAGGCGCGGAAAACCATGTATACGAGCACTTGGTGACATCCTGTCGCCTGTCCGCGTTCGTCCTCGAACACTTTGTTGACATCCTCCTTACTGCCACCGCTATTGGGAATGCCACTGCGGTCGCCACGTTGCTCGCTATGGCGCCACAATATGGGTGGGGGCACCAGGGTGAAGAAAGATCTCCCTCGAGAATCGGGACCGCTTTGCAGGTGGCTTGCGAATACGGAGATGGCGAAGTTGCGGAGCGCATACTGGCGGGCCACCACGAGTTGCATCCCCTGGAGCTTGAAACTTCCTATCCCTGGAACGCCCTGCACATCGCCTGTCATCAAGGGCATAGATCTCTTGTTGAAGCCATAGGTCAAGAACACCGCGAGGGCAATATCAAGATCTCAGACGCAATTGCACCACCCTCTCGGCTCGATCTACTCTTAGTCGCATCCGCACGAGGTCTCTACAAGATCACGAAAGCCCTTACCGCTGTGGTCATGAAAACAGCTTCTGGAGATGGTCGAGATAGGACGAACATGTCGGCGGTGCAGATCGCCAGCCAATTCGGATTTTCGAGCACCCTGAGAAGTCTTTTTAACGATCACAACTGCAAGATCTCACCATCGCCGCTTGCCGAAAAGGGCGAGCAGGAGAAGAAGAATTCCGCTGCGGTGTTGGTTTCGCGGAGCGGCGACGACAAAGCCACCATACTTGTGCTCGACAGGTTTATGCGGGAAACCGTCGATGCATTCCACGAGCTATTGCCGAGGAACTCTCTAGGGGAGGCTAGCACTGCCAGAGCGCACGACTTTGATGACGATGATGCTAATAATGATGGTGACTCTGGCCACGGTGCTGCGGAGAATACCGACCCCCTGAACCGGCTGATCGGAAACGCAAACAAAATCATGGGTGAAGCTCTTCTTACCATGGTGGAAACCCGAGGTTTGCAGCTCAAAACCTTTCAGAACCTGCTGGGTTACCTGCGAGACCCATCCAGAAGCACGGATGCGAAGGGCCGCACATCGTTGCTCTTGGCAGCAAGAGCGGGTGCTCTTGACCTTGTGGAGCAACTACATTGTTCCCGGGACCATGTCGAAATGGACGACAAACAGCGAACGGCGATGCATTACGCCTGTTACTACGGGCACTGGGACGTCGTTGAGTTCCTGCTCCAGGCCCAGGGCGTGGAGTACAGCCTCACAGCCCGCGACGCAGCATCGGCGACGCCCGTAACCGCGGCTGCGATGGGAGGCTATTTCCACATCGTCGAGCAGCTGCTTCCACGCCTGTCGCCTGAGGATCTCCGGGCCGAGTTCACGCTAGCCGTGCAGAAAGACCTTCTTGGCGCCATGGACCTCATCCTCAAGTCGGCTGCCAGGATGGATCCTTCGGGCCGGGCCGAATATATCCAGACCAAGGATGAGGACGGTTATACCCCTCTCCAGCTCGCCGCAATGCACAACCAGCCCCGCATTATCCAGTTCTTGCTGCTGCGGCAGCCCGGCCTCGACGACGCGCGGCTTGGCACGACTGCTCTAGGCTTCGCGGCCGGTCTGTCCGGAATCGAGTCGATGAGGCTGCTCCTCGACGCCGGTGCGTCACCCGAAGTCCCCACAAGACGGGGGCGATCCATTCTCTCAGAGGCTATCTACTACGAGCATCCAGACCCGACAAGGTTGCTTCTTGCGTGTGGTGCCTCGATGCAGTTGCCACGCTACTGGAACCATTACAGTAACCTCCTCGAATTCACTCTTTCCATGTCCTCCCCAGCCGTGCTCAAGGTGCTGCTGGAGCACATAGAAGGGCTGCGGAAGAATATTAAGGTCGGCCCCGTTCCTGATTACATGACGCCAACTGAGATCCTGAGACTGGTGGTGCAAGAGGGGAGTCCATACATGTTTGCCGTCGTCAGGCAAGCCTGGCCCCGCGATGTCTTTGATGCTACCATGAGCAGTAAGTCCGGACTTGCCTTTGGAAAGCTCGTCGAGAATGCCGCCGCCATCGGTACGGCCGAGACGCTACAGCAGATTTACGGAGACGTGGGCGGCCATGTCGACGTAAACGATACCAAGGGTGGTCACGGCACCGCCCTGCAAGCCGCGGCCGGGTCTCGTCGAGATGCGCTGGCAAAATTGAACATGCTCATCGCGCTGGGGGCAAAATTGGACACCCGCGTCGAACAGGAAACGGAGGAAGTTGTAGATGGCTCCAGAGGTCCCGCTACTACTACTCGCTCACGACTGCTGGGCTACTGGGGAACCGCTTTGCATGCAGCAGCCCGTTCTGGAAACCAAGACGTGGTAGCGGCCCTTGTGAACCTGCAGGACGACTTGAAGGACCAGCCTGACATGATGGGGCGGCTTCCCCTGCATCTGGCCGCGATGCAGGGGAACTGGGAAGCCGTGCTAGAGCTCTCCTCTCTATCGTCAAAACATACCTCGGAGGACTATCAAGGCCGCAATGCGCTACATATGGCTTGTGGACTAGGTAAAACCGACCTAGTTTTGAAATTGCTCAGCTCCATGTCAAGGGCAGATTCTAGTCAAATCATTGATAAGCCTGACATGGACGGCTGGACCCCGCTCCACTGGGCTTGCCGATCCCGAGATGCTCAGCTAGTCGAAACTCTTCTCGCAAGAAACGCCGCGCCTGACAAGGCCGCCGACAGCCCTAAAGGGTGGCTGCCATACCACATAGCTGTCGAGTACGGCTGGGGAGGGGACATGCCACAGAAGGTCAAAGACGCCTGCAACGACAGCCAAGACGTTGCCGAGGACCTACCCAAGGATCCAAAGGAGTTTTCTTACTCGTCCTGTGACTGCTGCCATTGTGTAAGTTTACCCCTCTGCGCCGCTTTCAACTGAAAGGCATCCCCCAACTGACGAAACAAAAATTTGCATAGAAGATTTACGGGGCCCGGTATAAATGCAAGAGCGGGGCCGCTGCTTGTGACGACTTTGATCTGTGCCAGAAATGCTGGACACATGTCACCCTAATTCACGCTCCAGATCACGAGTTTGAACTTTATGGGTTGTGGTAATTAAGGCAAGGAGCAGCTGGAGGTTTTGCTAATTGCTATTGGCGGGGAAGCTAGGGGAAACATAATTACAGCACAAGTGAAAACGTCCAGAAAATGGGCCTGATGGTTTTGAACCACGGGATGCGAGGATAGGTGCGCCATGTGGCGAAGGCCAGTTCGACGCGTCGCTGTTTAGGACGTCCTGGGGTTGCTTTGTCCACAGCCTGATCGGCGGGCGTGCTTGGAGTGTTGAGAAAGCTCTGGATTACGTCTCCTGTAGTAATCAAGGTCTGCTTTGCCCTTCCCATGGTCGCGTGGCGAGTATGATGGAATGCAGTCCAACACACCAACAAGCCCTCCAAGCAAACGGGAAAGTCCCAACAGTCCGTGAGAACCAAAAACAAATAAAATTATTTAAACAAGCTCAAATCACATACCAGAGCCTTCTAACCCATCCCATTAACTCATTAACCGCTTTTCTTTCATTGTTGTCGCTGTATTTGTATTGCAAGTTGTTGACCTCGTCGTCGACTCTGTGTCTTAAGTCAACTGCCCTAGTAACCGACCAACCCACCTTCCGACTACCCCCACTTACAAAATCAGTAGGCCTACCTTTCAACTTTAAATACAAATAAAACAACAACTAAGTATGCCAATTGGTTAATTTAAAGACTTTTTAAATAAAGAAAAGACTGAAGATTCTAAATATCTAAAAAATAAACTAATAAGACTATAGAAAAAGCTACTTATTCTGAATATTCTGACTTAGAAGGTTCTATCCGGCTTCTTATTGCTCTAATATTTTAAATAGAGATAAAAACCTTATTTGGGTCTCTTTTAACTGCTGCTCTTTTTCTCTTCTTCAATTAGCTTAATTGCTACTTTAGAGCTCTATTTTCCTCCTCTAGCTTTAATACTTTTATCCCTAGAGTATCTAGACTCTTACCCACAGTTCGAAATAGCCATCTTGTAGTTGGGCTATTATAGCTAGGTCGACCTTATAACCGCACCAATAACTGTACATCCCTTAAATGACTAGGGGTTGTAAATAGGTTATTTTCCGACCTCTGATTCAGTCTTGGAGGCGAGGGATTAGCTAATTAGACTGTAATAGTCTAATTGGGGTTATTAATAACAAACCGACTACCCAATACCTTATTTCAGTCTATTAGCTATAATCCTAACCCTTTCTATCCAGCCTTTATATTAGCTTCCGTTAGGGCGGTATTTCTAGCCTCAAAATAGCACTTTAGGAAGGTCTCTTTTCTTATTGGGCTGGTATTAATAAGGGGATTAGCTAGAGTTAATACAGCTTAATATACAGCCTTAATTAGCCTAAAGACTGATATATCAAGAGGCTAAAGAATATAGCTTGTATATAGCAGTAAATAGACTAATTAGATTCGATTAGCTATATAGAGACGTATAAAATCGGGCGTTATATATAATCTGTAGCTATTTTATTATAACTTATATCGAATTAGACTCCGACTATATTATATGCACTAATAGCATACCCACTTATCCCCTTCTATTATAAATAGATTATTCCGATTATTAGATAATCTAAGTAATTTAGGGATATAAGAATTATTAGGATTATTAGATAATTCTTATAATCTATTAACCCACTGTAACTATATAGTTAATTAAGTAGTGTATATTTACTATATATAGCTACTTAGCTATTAATATAACTTAGTTACCTTAATTACCTTAACTTACTATATATTATAATACTTAACTATTACTAGATATAATATTACTCTATAAATAACACTCTAACTATTCTACTAATATAAACCTACAGTTTATCCACTAGCAACCCGCCTTCTATCTATTTTAGACTATATCTATAGCAGACTAGGAGATATAACTGTTATATATTTAATATAAGAAGTTGCTTTTTATTAGGCTTTTCTATTTTTAATTTTAGAATAAAAATCTCTTTTAGCTACTTAAGGCTACTTATATTATTAGTCTAGCCTTTATTAGATAATATAAAGTTCTAATTAATTAGATAGTTTATATTCTCTAGAAATTACTACTATTATAGGTTTTTATCTTTAAAAATAATTAATAAGTTAAGGTACTTTCTAGTTGTAAAAATAGCCTTAAGAATACTAATTTAATAGAGGCTGCCTAGGTATTTCTTAATAGTTAATTATAGCTTTAATTAGCTAAGTATAAGCCTATTAATTCTAATCTCTTAGAAAATCCCAGTTTTATCCTAATTCTAATAGTTATATAGAGGGATATTATAGATACCTAGTTAGTTTAATATATTAAAAAATACGCTAATAATATATAAATTAGCCCTATTTATCCTTTTTAAGTTAATTTTCTTAGCTTTAAGTATTTTTATTTATAGATTACAATATAAAAATCCAGTTATCTAATATTTTCTAAGTAGTTAGTTATTACTAGCTATACTTAAAATAGAAATAACTAACTTCTAGATTTAAATATAAGTTATAGCTATATCTAGCTTATCTTAAAAAATAAGCTAGTTATAAAGCTACCTTTTTTAATATATAAAAAGCTATTACTGCTATTAATAGGCTTTATAATAAGTTTCTATACTGTTAATTTAATTGTATAGAGTTCTATAAGGAAGATTATAATAATTAGCTGCTTTTTATATTAATATACCTTTAGCAACCTCTTAGATAGCTAATTAAAGGTTATTTTCAGTGTAATTAGATATACTTAATAGCTTAAAAAGGTCGAATTGCCTAATAAGGTATTGTAAAAGAAAGAAATATATGTGGTATAAGATGTGTTATAGTTAATATAGATTAAAGTAGGCTAGTTAGAAAGTAGGTTAGTTAGTTACTAGGGCAGTTAACTTATAATTAATTAGAATTTAGTAGTTAAAACTAAACTATATTAGATTTTTACAGTTAAATCTAAACTCCTTTAGGAATAGTAATAGTATAAAACGGCTCTAGATCTTATTTAGCTTTATTTAGCTAAAGGCTGACTTTATATTAATACTTAAGTTTTTTAAATACCTTTTAATATAAAAGGTCTTCTTAAGCTTTGGGATACCTTTTAGTATAAAAAGTCTTTTAAGCTTTAGAATTCTCTACCTAAAAATCAACTGCTTATTCCTATAAACACACCCCTACAAAATTACCCAATTAGTTATCCTCGGTATACCTCTACTTAGCTGGAATTTTATTTCCTAATTAGTAAGCTAGACTGCACCTCCTATTAGTCTGGATTAACCCCATCTAAATACCCCCTAGAGGTGCTAATCTTCCCTCCTTAAAAGATATGTAAAATATATGTAAAATTAGACGTGGGAACTCTAACCTTAGTATATACTAATCTATCCTACTACTCTTCCGCTAAATAGCCTACAAAGTAAAGAGAAAATATAGTAAAAAAATTAGTAAAGTATTATTAAGTATTGTATAATACTTTAGTTAGTTAGAGTTTATATATCTATTGTATTATAAGGTATACATTATATCTATTTTAACTTAGGCTTAAAATTATTAATATAGTATACTTAGGCTATTTACTTGAGGAGTCCTATAAATAACATTATTAAATTCTAATAATACTAAACTCCTTTTAAAAATAGCCTGAGTATACTAAGGTAAAAAACTTAATTTATAATAGTATTATTACTCTTATTCTTATATTTTATGAGATTCTCTCTTATACTCTAATTATATATATATTAATTTTCTATTCTTTTACCTACTTCTATTTATATATAAGAAACCTATTATCTAAATTATATTACTACTAGTATTATATAGATAGATATAATAATAATAATAATTAGGTCTTATTTACTCTTTTCTTATATAATAATTCCAGCCTAGCCTTGCTATTAAATATTTCCTATAGTATTTTATTCCTAACTATATTCTATATCTATATTTTTAATAGTAATATAATACTATTAAGTAATTTATACTGTAATAGCTATATATATAGACTATATAAATTGTACTTTTCTAGCTTAAGTTATTTAGTCTTAGTATTTAGCTTTATTCTAGTTTCTTATAACTTTAATATAATCTTAAGGAGGGTTTTATCTTAGATTTTATAATTAGTATATATAAATATTATAGTGTAGGGAAGTTCTTAGTAGCTTATATTATACCTCTACTAAGGCCTCTTCTTAACTTTCTTCTTCTTTTTAATTAGTATTTATATACTTATTAGAGTAAGTAGAATTATACCTAGTAGTATTTTATTAAATTTGAATTTCTTAGTTAACTTAGATAATAGAATAATACCAGTAGGTAGTTTAAAGTAAAGAATAATATTTAGGGTAAGTTAATAGCCTGAGAATTTTTTACTATTTAATATAACTTCTAATAC